ATGGATTATTTCATCCTATTGGCTTCATTCCGGGTTGTTGCTGGCTGCAAGAACAGCATCATTTTTTAAGCAGCACATGATTGCTGAGGAGCAGGCGTAGACTGCTTGGACCACATTGAGTGGTACCATACTCAACAGGCTATTCCACTTATTTCCAGTGGAACCCTCTTTCTCTATGGAAATGGAACGGGAGGAAATGTGTCAGAGTCCAGCCTCTAATTAACATGAAACTGACACGCCTGTAACATGAAACTGTCTTTGCCCTTTTAACTGGCACATCAACCCATTCATCCAAGGCTGGCGCATTCACAGATGTGATCCTTGTCTCTAGAACAGCATCCCTTTAAGGCAGTGGTGGGCAACCTGTGGCCCATCAGGGTTCTATGTGTGGTCTTCAAGACATTTTGTTTACCGTTGCCTACAAGCAGGGTTGCCAGATTCCTCTGGTTTCTATCCAGGTGATTTTTCCCCCCCTACCGGTATTAATAAAGTGACACCCACGTAAAGCACGAGCATGTGAAGTAAGGTGCATGCTGATTGCACGTAACAGTGCACCCAATCAAAGTGCTGCTACGGTTCAATCGGCACACCCAGCAAATTCTAGGTACGCCAGTACAGTGAGCAAAACTACCCTGTCCCCGGAGACAATTTTGGTTATGACAATCTTGGAGCCCACTGAGATGAAGAAGGGCCACTCATGCAGTCCACTTGCTAGCCTTGATTTCCCAATACTGCTTTAAGGCATTTCCCTCAAACCAGCAAACACAGAAGCATGTAGAGTTGTTGTTGATTTTTTAATAAAAAGGGACAATTTAACTCAATTTTTAAGAGCATAAAAATACATTCACGTCTAGATTGGCTCTTACTTTATATGATCTGGTTTGCCCACCTTTAATTATTTGCTATGTGTTGTCCAGGAACTAGGTACATTACCAAATGTTCAGGACCAATGAACTGCTCCTGCTGCCTTCACTCAGGCAAAACCTCCCTTAGACAAACTGGAGTTTTGTTTCAGTGAGGCATGCAGAGTGTTTTTAGCCGCAGCTTCCGCATAATTATTTAAATGCAGGTTTTGAATTTAATTTCCTTGTGGAGAGTTATGACCTCCAAAAATGGCACTCAGTCAAGAATGTCAGTTAATAACAAGGCTGAAATCGGTTCAATGCAGTATTCTTAGTATTCTTCACAAAACCTCCTTAACCCCTGGTGAACTGCTTTGGTGTCACGCTATGTGAATAGCTGCTTAGAGTCAACAAAAGTTGGCTACTGTATGAGGTAAATTCTACTGTGCATCTGTTTGAACCCTCCTTGTCACACACAGAGGAAGTTAATGATTCTAAAATTTACAAATGATCCGTAGCTTCAGTATGAGGATTCTGCAGCACCTAATACTTTTGTTTGCGGTGTGGGGGTATAACCTATTGACTAGCAGCACCTAAGAATGATTCTTGGAGAGGCTGAAGAAGTAAACACATAATGGCTGGTGGTGTACTTTTTCATAGAAGCTGAGTATATCACAACTAACAACTAACTCTTGTACATTCAGTTAAAACAGAACTTCAAACATTGTGAGCAATAACATCGTCTGGTAACTCCCAAACTTTACAAATTGGTATCTTGTAGCTTTATTGCCTGACTCTTTCTGTCTCCCACGCCCCTCCAGAGAAATGTTAACAGCACAGAGAAATTCTAACACTCAGAAGTAAATGTGTGGCATGTATCTTATTTAGGTCATTTGTTTATTGACCTTTCCAGGAAATTCCTCCCAGTTAAACTGAATTTTGGCCTGTGTAGGTGGCTACATTTACACCAGAAGCTAAGGATGGATTCACTTATCAAGTTAGTGTGAATATAAATAGCAGTGTAACTGCAATAATATAGGGTGTGTCTAAATTACGACATTAGGTCAATTTTATGTAATTCAACTTTTGAGCATATAATTTAATAAATTCGATTCTGCATGTGCCTACTTGGTGGCTGTGGTCGATAGAGCACCTCTTCACTGCCAGGGACACAAGGAGTGATGCACTATGGGTAGCTAAACTATACCCCCATCTCTGCATCAGATTGGAATTCTGGACAAGGGTTCCAATGCCTCGTGGGATGAAAACATAGTTGTGGGTGGCAATGGGTATGTGGCGCCCTCCTACCATGTCCATGGCTCTCAGCCAGCCTTGTCCTGCGGTATGCTTGTCTAAGTGTCTTTATTTTCACGTGGCATTACTGCGCGTCCCTGGTGCAGCCCTTAACCACCAGGCACTGTGCAATTTTGGCATGGATATCAGCGCTTCTTTTGCTGGTTCGGAACTCTGCCTGCATAAACTCTCCCTCTCCCCCCACCTCAACAATCAGAGCCAGTGTCCCCTGTGTGCTCCCTGCTGGAGGCCTTTATGATCCTGGGCATGCTCTGTTGGGATGAGCTCTCCACGCTGCTCCAAAGGGAAACGAGCATTCAAACATCCTCAAGGATTTTCCTGTTTGCCTGCCTTGAGAGTACTGGAATTCTAAGTGCTCACCTGAGCATTCACACTGGAGCACTCTGGATCGCCACGTGAGGCCAGTAACTCCAAATTTATCCTTTTCAGAGAGGACATGGTTATGGAAGAAGAACGGCTGTACTGGGTCAGACCAAAGGTCCATCTAGCCCAGTATCCTGTCTTCCACCAGTGGCCAATGCCAGGAGTTCCAGCGGGAATGAACAGAACAGGGAATCATCAAGTGATCCTACCCCTGTCACCCATTCCCAGCCTCTGACAAACAGAGGCTAGGAACAACATTCTTATCATCTTAGCTAATAGCCATTGTGAACCTATCCTCCATGAATTTATCTAGTTCCTTTTTGAACCTTGTTAAAGTTCTGGTCTTCACAACATCCTCTGGCAAGGAGTTCCACAGATTGACTGTGTGTTGTGTGAAGAAACACTTCCTTTTGTTTGTTTTAAATCTGCTGCCTATTAATTTCATTTGGTGACCCCTAGTTCTTAGGTTATGGGAACAAGTAAACAACTTTTCCTTACTCACCTTCTCCATACCTGTCATGATTTTATAGACCTCTATCATATTCCCTCGGTCTCCTCTCTTCTAAGCTGAAAAGTCCCAGTCTTCTTAATTTCCCTTCATATGGCAGCTGCTCCTAATCATTTTCGTTGCCAAATACAGTGTTTACACTAACCTTAATTTGAGGTGTGACTGTCACCTCAGGCTTTTCTCCACTGGTTCTGGAGGAGTACAGGGACTGATTTTCATAGCCCTTTAGGACAAGGGGAGGGACCCAGCAGTCTAGACACATTCACACACATTCGACCTAATGCTGAACTCATGGACCTAAGCTCGTAGTGCAGACCAGCCTGTAGACCAGGGTCTCCCAACCTATGGGTCGGGGCCATTACATTCCAAAAGGGTCGCCAAGTGTCTCCCCAGGTGGCTCTGTCCTCCCTCCTCCCCGTTGTTTTTGAATTGCGTTGGGTCACCAAGTCTTCCTGAATTGTCAAAATGGGCCCCCATCTGGAAAAGGTTGGGAACCGCTGCTGTAGAGAGTGGCAGCTGAGGAATGGCTGAGCTGTGCCCAGTACATACCCACCGGTGTCAGTTAGGTTTGTACTTGGCTCAGCTCAGCCACGCCTCCAATGTGCCAGCTATACTATCTTGACCACACTGCTATGTATAGTCATGCGAGCATGGCAAGAGCTGGCGTGAGTGTATGTGAACCACAAGCATGGGAGTTACACTCCTCGGCTGTAGTACAGACCCAGCCTGGGTGTGCGCCTACTAAGAGACCCAGAGACTGGAATCCTGCACTCTCCCATGCCTATTTTCATAGCTGACTCGTGGTAGCACCCAGGAAATGCACCATCTCCCAGTGCCCCTACCAAATTTTAACAACTAAATGGGGTGCCCTTCATGCCCCCTCCCTGTTCCTCTGGGTCACAAACACTCCCTGCAGCCCCTCCTCCACCAGACACCAGTTGCCTACGGCTACTTTGCATCAGATGAGTATACAGGAAAACATGACAAAGAAGCTGATTGATACGACAGAAAGGAAATGGAATAAAATAAAAAGGAAACAGAGATAAACTCGGACAACAGGAAATAGATTCAAACCAGAGATATGGTGTGAGACTTGCCGTGAGAAAGAAAAGGGAACAAGGATGAAAATCAAAGGCATATGGGAGTTAAAATAAGAGGAAAATAAAAGAAAAGAGAAGTGAAAGATAGGGAAACACTGGACAATAACAAGTGTGCGTGATTATAGAAAGTGAGTGGTTTCTACAACATCACACCAATTTGTGGAGAAGAATCAAAAGATTGTGCTCCTGAATGGTGTTTAGATCAGTGTTTCCCAAATGTTTTGGTACCTGGGACCAGCTAGCTGCCTTCAGAAACTGTCAGGGAGAATTCAAGGACAAGCGCTGGTTCATGGACTGGTTGTTGAGAATCACTGGTTTAGACTACAGTGATGACTGGCATTAAGCCACCTGTCGTAAAACCCACACTGTAATATATCCCGGATGGTATGTGGTTCTCTGTAGGCACTAAACTGTGCCTATGAAAACATTCCTATGGGTAAGAGTTGCTGGAACACACGGTGATACTCCATGCACTGGACTATCAGTGAACTGGATTGTATTTCAAAGGCTGAAACGCAAACAGTTCCATGAATGTAAACCATCCCCATGTCAACAGCAGAGCTGCAGTTGGTGACTAACGTTCCTAGGTTCAGTCCTGGCTCTAGCACTGAATCTGGAAAATGAGGTGGATGGTACCTCCCTCTACAGGAACATTGTAGAATGTATGTCTGTCAGGTGTTTGGGGGGTGATTGGCTTGACCTTGTGAGGCGCGGAGTGTCATCAACTCAAGCTGATTTCAGTCGCATCCCTCAGGAGCAAGCCCCGGGTATTGCAAAGTATTTTAACTACGGCTGCCAAAAGCCAGCAGACACTTGGGCATTTCCCTAATTCTGGCAAGAGCTCTCGGAATGTCGCGCACACCCACAGCTCACCGTGGCAGATCTTTCACAGTTTTCCCAAAGTCGGGATCCGAGGCCGTTTCGTGGCTCCCGTCTTTCAGCTGATGAGCTTCGGAGACTCTCATGACGATGTAGCGCTGGGATCCTGAAAACATTGAGGTGGGAAATAGAGACTATATGAGAGAAGAGTTTATGTACTACACGAGGAGCAAATTCATGAGAGGGGGCGGAGAAATCATCATAGTACAAACCAGGTGCTAGTAGGACTCCACTCGTCAGAAAACGCTCAACAAAAATGTTCCAGTGTAAAAGAGGATTTTTTTCCCACTGGATATTTTTGTGCAAACACTTTCCCACTTCCTAACCAGCCCAACAGCGAGCAGTTAGTTGCCCAATTCTCTTTGAAATTAATATGAGTTGGGTTCTTGACTCCAATTTATGCCTCTGAAGCCCTCCCTCTCCTCTCTAATTCCTCTGTCTCATATTTATCCCCATTTTCCCCCTACTCAAGGGGTGGGGAACCTAAGGTCCCAGGGCCAGATGTGGTCCCCGGCTTGCTTGGATCTGGCCAATGAGATTCGGGGTTGCCCCTCAGCATTGGGGAGACCACTCTGGCACTCCAGCACTGCAGAGGGGCTGGAGCACATAAAATCTACTAGCCCAGGCCCTCCTAGGCTCTGGTATGCGAGAGGAACATGTGGAGTATCTTTCTCCTTCTCAGTCAGGGACCACATCAGTGAGGGTTGGGGGGAGGGGGTTGCCTCTCACTTATGTGTGGCCCCCAACTGATTTTTCTGTGGGTCAGCGGTTCCTGACCCAAAAAAGACCCCTGCTCTACTTATTCATAAGAAGCATAAAGGGGCCCAATAGAGAAAGACAACAGACCACTGGGAAGACAGGTGGCTGTGAAATAGAAGGTGTGAAATCAATGTCTATATTACACTTTAAAAAACAAGAACTTTTCCCCAGCCTGGTGTTTCCTCATTCATTGGCATGCATCCAAAAAGGGCACTACGTAGTCAGGCATATCTCAAACTAGGGGGAGACAGTGCGTAGGAGTGAGTGACAATCAAAGTATTATGCACATCTGCAGGACAGACAGAAAATGTCACATTAGCTCAAGTGTTCGGCAAATGAGAACAAAAGACAGAGACGAATGAATGGGAAAGGGAGGGGAGAGAAGCAAACAAAAGACTTAAATACATGGGTGAAATTGTATCCTGTTCCTTCCGCATGTGTATGCAGATATGTGGAGCATACAAGCAGAGTCTAAATCCCTGATTGCAAATGTTAGTGGCATGAAGGGACAGCCTAAATAGCAGGCTAATAGTAACAAACCAACGAAACAGGCTTCTGCCCCGCTGGAGTAATTAACAACTAATGATCAAAGGGTTTTTTTTTTTTTGTGCCAGCATAAAGCAGACAATTTGCATCGCCTCCTCCAACAGCCTTAATGAATCCGTGACACTGAACTGAGACACTAGGTTTGGATCACAGCAGTAGCGTGGCTCAGGCAGTCGCTCGGCTGACATAAGGAGTAATGAGTCACGGCAGCTGCCCTCCATTAAGAAGATCCCAACGTGCTCTGCCTGACATTACTTAGGATTTCATTCTTCACGTACCTGGCAGCCGGTGAGGATAACCCAGAATGGGGATGGCAGTGAGGAGGGCGGCGGCGCCAGCACCCAAGAACCCTATCCACCAGGCCCCAACCCAGAGCGAATGATCTGGGGTTAGATCAATTCTGCAAAAGAACAAGGGAGAAAGACAGTTACCTCACTGGAAAAGAAGGGCACAAGCTTGACTCTAACCCTGGCCTGGATCAGGAGTAGCAGGTGACATCAGGAGAGACACACCAAAGTAAAACAGGCACAAGGCAGAGGGCGATGTGCCCCCAAGTCTACGTGGTGCAAATGGCAAAATGAAAACGTGCTCTCCCGGACACTAGTATAATACTGGAGCAACGCCCTGGATGGCAAGGGAGAGTGCAGATGTAAACTGGTGCACCTGAGAGCAGATTTCAGGCCTTGAATTTTATTTCTTACTGAAAAATAAAACCACTGTGCAAGGGGGCTCTGTGCTATAAGGAGCTAGAGGAAAGTGAGCGTTATAATTGCAACATTGCTGTGAGCTACATGTTAACTTGATAGCCTCCCTTGAGTGAAAGGCCGGGGTGGAGCTGTGCTGTCCAGGGGAGGACAGAGAAAATGTATGGAGAGTCAGAGTGTGACTGTTCTGCTTTCATAGGGGAAGGGGAACAGTATTTCCCTGCTTTTCATAGAACAGCTTTCTCTCCTTTGGATAGTTCCTCTGGCTGACAAGTAGAGAGAACAGACTGAAAGCTCCTCCCCTCTCGGTGCCCCCTCGCCATGCACAGCTAGAGGTCAAATATCAGCCTGGCCCAGGCTCAGCAGGGAAATCACAGGGCATTACTCCCCCAGATTCCCCTGTACAACTGAATACGGTCTGCGACAATCCTACAAAACCAGAATGACGTGGCTGAGGGTTCCCAGCCTGGAGTCCGCACTCAATGCCAGGGTGAAACATACTGTCAGCCCTTGACATTCGCCTGTAAATCAGTCCCAACAAAGCGCAGTACAAAAAGCTAAACACGCCTTTGTATTCACCACCCTCCTCAGACCCTAGAATGGAAGCAAAGGGACCACTTTGCCAAAGAGCTCCCGATTCACAAATAAACTGCACAAAGAATGCTTCTGAACTCAAAGCAAATTCAAAGTCTGGGAACAGTGAATTCCGTCCGCAGCACAAGCTGCTTCAAAGCTTCTCCGAGCTCAGATGTTCCAAACAGTGTGTCTTATCACAGGAGGGGGTAAATTTAGTGCTGGTCTTTCATTGCTGGAATCAAAGGGGAAGTAAAGTCCCCCACCTTTTCCGTCTCTTTTTTGGTATGTCACCAAAGAGCAGAAGTCTGGTCCGTGCATTTGGAAGCAGCAGGGAACCGAGCTGAGAAAATAACATCAGACGAACTCCAAAGCGCTCAGCATTTGAGGCCAGATTTGCAAGAGAGCTCAGCTCTTGTCTAGACAGCTGAGCAGAACAGGCTGAATTCCACGCTTGACCAGCACTCCACAGGTCCCATTGAGACCAACGGAGAGCCCCGCAAATCCACGGATATCCGCTTTATATCTGCATCCGCAGATGGGGCTGCAGATAGCCGCTGCTCATTTATGCAGATACGGAGATGGACACACATTTTATATCTAGAATCCTGCACATTTGTGGATGTCCGCTTTATGGCCATGGGTAGCCGCACCCGCAGCTGATGGACGCAGATATCCACAGCTCTTTCTTGCAGATGCGGATGCAGATTCCACTTTTGTATCCACTCAGGGCTCTACCTATGGAGAGCCCACCACTTTGGCAACAATGTGAACGGCTGGGAACACTTCTGAAAATCTGTCTAGGACATGTAGGCACCGACAGAGGTGCGGAGGTCTGTTGGAAATCTAGCTGCTTCTTCTGGGGGCAGACTGGGGAGATGAAAGGTGTTGAAACTATTGCAACCAGGTCTCTAAAGTCTGGTGCCCCTCTAAGTAGCGCACACAAGCAAGTTTCTGGATGAACAAACAAGATATTTTTACCTGGCTACCTGAGCTTATGCTCCAATGTGAACTGGAGACTACAGACTGCCCCGCCATCTTGGCCAACACAATTTGTGTCTTATATGATCCCTGCTACTGTAGTGTCTCAGCTAGGGTGACAAATAGCAAATGTGAAGAATCAGAAAACTTTTTTTGGAGGGCGGGGGTGGGGGCGCAATAGTTTCCTATGTAAAACAAAGCTCCTGATGCTTGGACAATCCCAATAATATCATCCTAATCTTGGGACATTCTAATCTTTAATGCCTTTATCCTGTCAGATAAAGGAATACTGTCATCTTTATTCTCCGGAGGGAAACTGAGGCACAAAGAGATTTGCCCAAGGTCAAACAGGAAGGCCAAGGCAGAGCAGGCAACTGACCTTAGGTTTGTCAAAGCCTAGCCCAGCACCCTAACCACTAGACTATCCTGCCTTTCAGATCCATAGCACTGTCAACGACTCATTCATGACAATGAGCCTGAAAACATGAATTGTTTAAAACTGTATTTTTCTCTAAGCATTCATCAGTTCCAGGTTCCATTTTCATTTCTATTTGGGTCACTCTGCCTGTGTTCAAGAGCAGGTCAATCTTTTGCTACAAGACTTGTTGCCAAAAGCAGCAGCAGCAGCAATGACAATAAAATGATCCAATCCATTCCTTGGCCAAACATCACAGCAAAATAACAGGTCAGGCTCAGGGGTCGCTGTAAGCTGTGTGCTTGGGTGGCCACCTGAGAGAGATTCAAATGCCACCCAGCAGATGAGCAGAGTGCCCATAGCCAGCAGCGTGTGTTTTTAGTGGTGGTGCACATCCGCACACATGCCTTGGTGCACATAACAAAATTTATTCTGCAGAGGGATGGAAAAAATTAGAGGGACTATTGGCCAGGCTTGCTCAGAAAATGCTTTTGCAGGGACCATTCATCTGTTGCATGAAGAAAAAAAAAGGGCGGGGGAGAGGACCCAGTAAGCCAGAGTGACAGAGTGGCAATAGAGCATGGGTGTCTTCCTGGAGGGTCGCAGCGCTGGGCCAGCTGCCAGGGGAGCAGACCGGCGCTTGAAATTAAAGGAGCCGCAACAAAATGTCCCAGACTTTTTTTTTGCTCAACCAAAGAAATCCCTGGGGGTTGTGAATTAAAAAAGGTTGAGCACCACTGCACTAGAGGACTATAGTGAGGAATAGTGGCAAAGGTAGCCATGCTCCATACACAATGGGACTCGTTCAAGAAATCCTCTTGCTCATCACAGCTCAGCTACCACACGTGCCAAACCACATGGACAATGTGCTTTGGCCTGTAAGGAATTCTTTTCTATTAATAAAAACCCACCCCCACACTCCTGCCCAGCCCACTTCCAAATTCACTGCTGGACAAAATTTCTCTGAAGACAATGGTTTCCCCCAACCCCCATTTCAGGTGCTCAAGGTTTTTGTCTGTCATATGTTTCAAAGCAACTGTGCAGCGGAAAGGAAAAAGAACAAATTTATTTTTACCAACTTACTGTCTGCCAATTTCAGTATAAATATTTAGAAACATTCCTCCTACCAGATAACCTGCTGCGGGCCCCAGTATGGCAGCAGTGTAGAAAATAGCTGAAAGAGAAAATAATCAGGGTTACAAGATCCTTCACATTTTACCAAAAGCCCTGTCCCTGCTCTTGCTTTTAGCCAAATGCAACACCTCGTAGAGTGGCAATAGGCATGGCACCGAGCAAGGGAGTGCTAGGAAAGTACCACGAGCTCAAGTGCAGCCCTGGAAGGAAGTGTGACTCACAAGGCTGTACCCAGGGTGCGGTGAGTGTGACATTTGACCCAGGCACAATACCATAGGGGCAGAAAAAGGGAGCAGAGAAATGCTGGGAAAAAAGGGGGCAGAGAATATGCTTGCTCATGCTGGGTGTTAAAAATGCATAGTTACAACTTGGGACTCACACACACACAGCTCTGGGTCTCAGCTCCCTCCTGCTGGGAGAGGATGTGGGCTGCAGACACTGGAAATCCGCCTTCATTTTGCAAGGCCGGATTCTGGACTGCAGGGGGCAGAACCGCCTGGCCAGCTGGAATTTCCAGCAGGCTGTCATGCTGAGCTAGGTAACGCTCAGATGAAAATATATTGGCTGTTAATTACAAGCTCTCTGGGTGGTAAAAAAAAAAAAAAAAATCAATGGGATTCAACCCCCGCATCTCCTCACTCAGGGAACACAGTAATTTGCTGCGTGTCTTTACCAGCGGTGTATGTTCCCTACCCTGTCTCAGACCCATTGATGGGGAGCGAGGGGAAACAAAGGGGGAAGTTGCCCCGGGGCCTGGCGATACAAAGAGGTCTGGGCTCCCAGTGGCTGCCACAGTAGCAGTAGCTACTTTAAATTGCTGCCGGAGCACCACACGGGGCATTCCACGAGGCGCTAATGGCTGGGACGGGTGCTTTGCAGTCCAGGCAGCACTGAGGGCTGGTTATCCCCAGCCACACCCCTTCCATCAAGACCCCACCCTTTTCAAGGGCATGGAGCTGCCCCCTTTTCCCCACACCTTGCCCTGGGGCCCACGGTGGCTGTCTCTCCTCAGGTGCTCCAGCAAGGGAAGTAGCAGGCCTGCAGACCTGAGTTCCTAATGGCCTGGCATGGGCGTATAGTCCAAGTCACAGCTTTTCCATGTATTCATCCCATGGCTGTGACATAGGGAGATGGACAATGACATATCTGGGACTAATCCAAGTACCCTTTAGAGGCAATGCCTGTGTTTGGAAAACAGGAGCCTAAATTGGTTTCATTAGAAAAAGTGCTATGTAATTGGAGATCAACTTATTATTATTTACCAGTCAAAGACTCGATCCTGTGAGTACAGACTACCAGGCGCAATGCTCACTACTGTGAATAGTCCCAGTGTCTCACTGACCGTGGCAAACAACATGCACGGTAGTGCCTGCACGACTGGAGGTATGTTTTCCTCTACCCCTCAGTGCCATCAGAAGAGTGGCATGGGGCACTGACCTGAACAGATCCTTGACGACTCTCATGATTTCTTCCTCTCTATCCCCACAGCCCTCAGGTGTGCCAGCTCAGGCCCTTAGGTCTGCTCCTAAGACAACTGAACTCAACTGGAGTCTTTCAACTGAATCCAGATTAGGCCTTGGTGAACACGTTCCCTATCTCGCCAACATATATTAAAGGCCTTTTACAGTGGCTATATGATTAGACATGCCTAGAAGAGGATCTTTTTTATTTTTATATAAATATGTTAGTCTCTATATAGTACCATGAGATTTCACGGGCAAAACCCACTTCCTCAGATGAGAGTAGAGAAAAAAAGGAGGATCCTCCCAATTTATAACAGAAAAAGAAGGGAGAGGTGGAGAAATAAATACCTGTCCATTGTAGTGCCGGTGCTACAGAGGCCAAAAGAGTGGGCTGTAAGTGTCCCATATTTAGCTTTTTTATGTCGTTTGGGTGTTAAATATAATGGCTCATTCATTTCATGTCTTTATTCAGGCCCTGAGAGATAGTGTAAAATTTGCATATGAAGGCGAATTCCGCAGTCTCTCTCTCTAGTTGGCTTCTGAAATCCCTTTGTAGAAGAATGGCTTTTAAATCCATTGATGAGTGCTCAGGAAAGTTGTGTTCCTACAAGTTTTTGTGTATTACCATTTCTATTATCCGACTTTAACCTTTGTCATGGAGACTGTCCAGTTTGGCCAATAATATACATGGCAAAGAGGCATTGTTGGCACTTGATGGTATATATCACATTAGAGGATATGCAGTTGTATGAGCCCCTGATGTTCTGGCTTATGTATTCAACTAGCCTCATTAGCACCGGCACTACAATGGACTGGTATTTTTTTCTCCCCCTCTCCCTTCTTTTTCTGTTATAAATTGGGAAGATCCCCCCTTTTTTCTCCACTTTCATCTGAGGAAGTGGGTTTTGCCCACAAAAGCTCATGATACTATATATATGGTGCTACAGGACTACTCATTTTTCTAAAGATTTAAAGTAATGCATCTAGTTGTTGGAATGTTCAGGCAACTTAACAATATTCTTCTAGACAGTAAACAACTGGAGGGAAAACTCAAAAGCTTCCAACCTGTAGCTTCTCTCCTCCTATTTTTATCTCTTCTGATATTTGGAACAAATGACTGGGATTACCCTGGTGAGCTACTCCGGTACTTTACATTCAGTGCCAACACAGATGCATTTGATTTCCCTTTAGCTAGCGTGACTGATCCAAACAAAAGGCTCTTCCTTGGCAGGCTACTTGACTTACCGATATACACTGGAGAGTAGTTGGACTTGACATTTTCATCTAAGTAGGTCACACCAAGCGTGTAGAGTGGAGTGGCTCCAATACCATGCAGGAACTGCCCAAGCATGAAGACAAATCGGTAGTTGGAGAGGGTTGAGACACTTTCTGCACATTGCATGCTCTGGTTAGACGAGCACATGCCGATATCTTCGGTGAAGTGTACTTCATACTGGCTAGTGACAAAGTGGGGTAATGTGAAGACAATAGAGCCGAGTCCCATAATGAGCACTCCCCAGCCCAGCCACTGGGGTTTATGCCCATTGCCCCCAAAGTAACTGACAAAAGTCAAGCAGACACACGCTGCTATGTCGTAAGAGCTTGCAATCAGGCCGCTCTGGTAGCTCCGCAGGTCAAAGCGCCGTTCTATTGAGGTGATGACTGTATTAATGAAGCCGTTCACTGTCATCCCTTGCAAAAAAGAAGCCACGCAGAGGAAACACAAGATCCCCTTAGGAGTGTTGAAGAACTGTAAACAACTGGGTGTGAAAGCCCCCCACCCGCACTCAAGTACCTCTCCCGCGGAGGAGACATATTTAACTCCGTTGATGCACTGGCTTTTCGTTTCAGATGCGGCATTGCAGAGAGGTTTCACACTAGAGTCTGAAGGGCTGTTTGTGTTGGAATATAAAGTGTCACTGCTCTGGGGTGTGTTACAAGGCTCCTTTGTAAACTGTTTGAATCCATTTTCTTTTGTCAGATTCTGAGTCATTTCTATCAATGGGCAATCAAAGGCTTGTGTGGCGGTTTCTGGCTGTTTAACAGCGTAGTGACAACTTGGCTACCAGCATGTTGCACTTTGTGGCCAGTTGGAAGCAGGCAGAGGGGGTATGTCAGGTTCTAGACCACTTCATTCTGTGACAAGAATATGAGAAGAAGTTAGCAAACATGACTGGCCAAGCAGCTCACCGTTCTCTCTGATTTCTGTACCAAACCTTCTTTCGGAACCAATTCTTTCCAAGGTGAGCAAAACACTCAAGCTGCATTGAGGATTTCACATTTCCCCAGGCCTAAGCCTGCCAATGGATTGAAATTGGCAGAGTCATCTTGAAAAAGGAAGGAGAAAACTGTGTACACTAAAGCATAGTCATGGGCAACCTAACATTCATACAAAAGAGGATGTGCCGTCAATTCAGCAGAAATGCTGTCCTGTTCCCTTATTACTACAATAATTTATGCTGAAAGAATATCTCAGTGTGTCTCATGGGAACAGGGAAAAATTCTCTGCTCTGATACACATGTGCAGCTTCCATGGAATCCGAGGGCAGAATGCAGCTGCTTGTCATTCTGAAAACGTTCAGCACAAATGCTGAGAAGTACAGAACCAAACTGAGACCATGCCCAGCCTATTTGTCAGCTTTATCCACTTGTTTTGTCCTGTCTGCCGCCTAGGTGGCAAGCTCCGTGGATCAGAGACTGTCCTCGTGTTATTCATCTGTATAGGACTGACCCTATCGGGGCCTGGATCCAATTTTAGAGTCCCTAAGCACTATGATAATAGAGATAATACATCATACCCCTTGGCTATGTCTAGATTGGCATGATTTTCTGGAAATGCTTTTAACGGAAAACTTTTCCGTTAAAAGCATTTTCAGAAAAGAGCGTCTAGATTGGCACGGACGCTTTTCCGCAAAAACACTTTTTGCGGAAAAGCGTCCGTGGCCAATCTAGACATGCTTTTGCGGAAAAAAGCCCTGATTGTCATTTTCGCGATCGGGGCTTTTTTGCACAAAACAAATTTCAGCTGTCTATACTGGCCCTTTTGCGCAAAAGTTTTGCGCAAAAGGGACTTTTGCCCGAATGGGAGCAGCATAGTATTTCCGCAAAAAGCACTGATTTCTTACAGTAGGAAGTCAGTGCTTTTGCGGAAATTCAAGCGGCCAGTGTAGACAGCTGGCAAGTTTTTCCGGAAAAGCGGCTGATTTTCTGGAAAAACTGGCCAGTCTAGACACAGCCCTTATGATTAGGGGGCTACCAAATTCACAGCCATGCAGAACGGACCAGGGACTGTAAAATCTGGCTTTTTGTGTGCTTTTACCATATACTGCACAGCTTTCACAGAGGAGAACCAGCATTTCTCAAACTGGGGGTCCTGACCCAAAAGGGTATGGCATGGGGATCCCAAAGTTATTTTAGGAGGGTCACAGTATTGGAAAGTGGTGAGCCACTTGTAATGTTGGCCAGGTACCCAGCTCTGAAGGCAGCACTGTGGCAGCAGGAGTACAGAAGTAAAGGTGGCAATACCATGTCCATGTCGCTCTTACTTCTGGACTGCTGCTTTCAGAGCTGGGTGGCTAGAGAGGAGCAGCTGCTGACTAAGGGGCCAGCTCTACAGGTAGCAGCCAAAAAGTAAGGGTAGCCACACCATACCAGGCCATCCTTACTCCTGCACTGCTGCTGCTGGCAGCGGCTCTGCCTTCAGAGCAGGATTCCTGGCCAGCAGCCACTGCTCTCCAGCTGCACCGCTCTGAAGACAGTGCTGCTGCCAGCAGCCATGCAGAAGGGTAACAATACCTCAACTCCCTACAATAACCGTGTGACCTCCCTCACAATTCCTTTTTGGGTCAGGATTCCTTCATTTACATTGATGTGGGGAACCTTTTTTGAGTCGGGGGCCGCTGACCCACAGAAAAATCAGTCGGGGGCTACACACAAGGGAGAAGCCAAAAAACAAACAAACCCCAAACCCCGAAAACCTCACTGACATGGCCTCTGATTGAGGAGAAAGACACTCCCCATATTCCCCTCACACACCACATCCTAGTGGGGCCCAGACTGGTAGATTATGTGCGCTCCAGTCCCGCTATAGGCACAAGCACCCCAATGCTAGGGAGAGCACTAAACCTCGGGGGGTTGGATCCAGGCAAGCTAGGGGGCGCATCTGGCCCCTGGGCCTGAGGTTCCCGACCCCTGATTTGCACCATGAAATTTCAGATTTAAATATCTGATTTCATGTCATTTACGATTTTTTAAAAACCTTCAACCATGAAATTGACCAAAATGGACTGTGAATTTGGTAGGGCCCTACTTATGAAGCAAGACCTGACAGGTGGACCAGCCGTAACAATCCAACTCCATTTACCAAGGTGCAAGTGTTACAGCTGCTCAGTGTTGTGCTATGCCAGACCTGTAAGGCAGTGTGCCAGGTGTTAAAGGTGCTTCAGTTTCTAGGCCATATAAATACTAACCCAGATATCCCTGGGAGGAACTGGTTGAGAATTTGAAAGTGGAAGGCAGCTTGAGTGAAAGTGATCATGAAATCAGAGTTCACAATTCTAAGGAAGGGTAGAAAGAACAGCAAAATAGAGACAATGGATTTCAGGAAGGCGGATTTTAGTAAGCTCAGAGAGCTGATAGGTAAGGTCCCATGGGAATTAAGACTGAGGGGAAAAACAACTGACGAGAGTTGGCAGTTTTTCAAATGGACATTATTAAGGGCCCAAAAACAAGCTATTCCGCTGCACTGTAAAGCTATAAAATATGGCAAAAGACCGCCTTGGCTTAACCACGATATCTTGCATGATCTAAAAATAAAAAAGGAGTCATATAAAAATGGAAAGTAGGACAAATTAAGGCAAACAACACAGGAATGCAGGGACAAGATTAGAAAGGCAAAGGCACAAAATGAGCTCAAACTAGCCACGGGAATAAAAGGAAACAAGAAGACTTTTTATAAATACATTAGAAGCAAGAGGAAGACCAAGGACAGAGCAGGCCCACTGGTCAGTGAGGAGGAGGGAGAAACAGTAACAGGAAACTTGTAAATGGCAGAGATGCTCAATGACTTCTTTGTTTCGGTCTTCTCCAAGAAGTCTGAAGGAATGCCTAACATAGTGAATGCTACTGGGAAGGGGGTAGGTTTAGAAGATAAAATAAAAAAAGAACAAGTCAAAAATCACCTAGAAAAGATGCCTGCAAGTCACCAGGGCCTGATGAAATATATCCTAGAATACTCAAGGAGCTGATAGAGGAGGTATCTGAGCCTCTAGCTATCATCTTTGGGAAATCATGGGAGACAGGAGAGATTCCAGAGGACTGGAAAAGGGCAAATATAAAAAGGGGAATAACCCAGGAAACTACAGACCAGTTAATTTAACTTCTGTGCCAGGGAAGATAATGGAGCAAGTCATTAAGGAAATCATCTGTAAACACTTGGAAGGTGGCAAGGTGATAGGGAACAGCCAGCATGGATTTGTAAAGAACAAATCATGTCAAACCACTCTGATAGCTTTCTTGGATAGGATAACAAGTTTTGTGGATAAGGGATGGATGTGATATACCTAGACTTTAGTAAGGTGTTTGATATGGTCTCACATGATATTCTTATCAATAAACTAGGCAAATACCACTTAGATGGAGCTTCTATAAGGTGGGTGGATAACTGGCTGGATAACCGTACTCAGAGTAGTTATTAATGGTTCACAATCCTGCTGGAAAAGTATAACAAGTGGGGTTCCACAAGGGTCTGTTTTGGGGAGCACCGTTGGCTGTAAGCGTGGTGACTGTTCTGGGCTGGCAAGTTTACATGCTGGGAGAGAGGCCCAGGTGTTCGGAATCCCCTCCCTCCCATGACTGCCACCCCTCTAGGAATCAGCCCTGTTCTGCCTTGCAGGCCCCGCCCCTGCTGTCGACTCATGGCTGGAGGAAACCAGTGAAGCTGTTGAAGAGGAGACGCCATTACCCACTCTGGAAGAAGTGGCCCGGATGACTAACACGGCTTACAGCAAGATCTCAGGTGAGACTCCAGTGGCACAGAAGTGAATTATCCAGGATGCATTAACAGGTGTGTTGTGAGCAAGACACAAAAAAGTCATTCTTCTGCTCTACTCTGCGCTGGTTAGGCCTCAGTTGGAGTATTGTGTTCAGTTCTGGGCACTGCATTGCAAGAAAGATGTGGAGAAATTGGAGAGGGTTCGGAGAAGAGCAACAAGAATGATTAAAAGTCTAGAGAACGTGACCAATGAAGGAAGGCTGAAAGAACTGGGTTTGTTTAGTTTAGAAAAGAGAAGACTGAGGGGGGACATGATAGCAGTTTTCAGGTATCTAAAATGGTGTCATAAGGAAGAGGGAGAAAACTTGTTCATCTTGGCCTCTGGGGATAGAACAAGAAGCAATGGGCTTAAACTGCAGCAAGGGAGGTTTAAGTTGGACATTAGGAAAAAGTTCCAAACTGTCAGGGTAGTCAAACACTGGAATCAATTGCCCAGGGAGGTTGTGGAATCTCCATCTCTGGAGATATTTAAGAGTAGGTTAGGGATGGTCTAGACAGTATTTGGTCCTGCCATGAGGGCAGGGACTGGACTCGATGACCTCTCGAGGTCCCTTCCAGTCCTAGTATTCTATGATCCCACTAATGACTAAGGGTGCGTCTACACAGCAGGGCTTAACTTGAAATAAGCTACACAAATTGAACTACATCAGTGCATAGCTTATTTCAAAATAGCTTATTTGGAAATTGGGAGCGTCTACACAGCACTTATTTTGAAATAGAGCACTCTTCCTCCGACTTCCCTTACTCCTCATACAATGAGGGTTACAGGAATCGAGTAAGAAGTCCTCCAGCCTGACAGTATTTTGGCGCTATTTCAAAATAATGACCTGCAGTGTAGACGCAGACTAAGTTATTTTGGAATAGCGCTTGTTATTGCGAAATAGTGTTGCAATGTAGACGTAGACTAAGAGAAATGGCTAAAGTGAACAGCTGGCAGCAAGGGGATGAATGCAGATATCCTCAGTACAGCAGCTTAAGCAGATGCAGCCAGGTGCTCTAGCTATCACCAAACTAGGCAGCTGCTTAGGGCAGCAGATATAATTTGCACTGTGACCCCGTGCCCTATGTTTGGCTTTTAGCTCAA